AAGAAGAATGTCAAGGAAAATGTGGGCCCCTTACTGAATGAGGGAGGCAACCTAGTGACAGAGGATGTGGAAAAAGCTAATGTACTCAATGCTTTTTTTTGCCTCGGTCTTCACAAACAAGGTCAGCTCCCAGACTGCTGCACTGGGCAGCACAGTATGGGGAGGAGGTGACCAGCCCTCTGTGGAGAAAGAAGTGGTTCGGAATCAGGACTATTTAGAAAAACTGGACGAGCACAAGTCCACGGGGCCGGATGCGCTGCATCCAAGGGTATTAAAGGAGTTGGCTGATGTGATTGCAGAGCCATTGGCCATTATCTTTGAAAACTCATGGTGATCGGGGGAGGTCCCGGATGACTGGAAAAAGGCAAATGTAGTGCCCATCTTTAAAAAAGGAAAGGAGGAGGATCCATAGAACTACAGGCCAGTCAGCCTCACCTCAGTCCCTGGAAAAAATAATGGAGCAGGTCCTCAAGGAATCAATTCTGAAGCACTTCGAGGAGAGGAAAGGGATCAGGAACAGTCAGCATGGATTCACCAAGGGCAAGTCATGCCTGACTAACCTAATTGCCTTCTATGAGGAGATAACTGGATCTGTGGATGAGGGGAAAGCAGTGGATGTGTTATTCCTTGACTTTAGCAAAGCTTTTGATACGGTCTCCCACAGTATTCTTGCCAGCAAGTTAAAGAAGTATGGGCTGGATGAATGGACTATAAGGTGGATAGAAAGCTGGCTAGATCATCGGGCTCAACGGGTAGTGATCAATGGCTCCATGTCTAGTTGGCAGCTGGTTTCAAGTGGAGTGCCCCAAGGGTCGGTCCTGGGGCCGGTTTTGTTCAATATCTTCATTGATGATCTGGAGGATGGTGTGGATTGCACTCTCAGCAAGTTTGCAGATGACACTAAACTGGGAGGAGTGGTTGATACGCTGGAGGGTAGGGATAGGATACAGAGGGACCTAGACAAATGAGAGGATTGGGCCAAAAGAAACCTGATAAGGTTCAACAAGGACAAGTGCCGAGTTCTGCACTTAGGACGGAAGAATCCCATGCACTGCTACAGACTAGGGACCAAATGGCTAGGCAGCAGTTCTGCAGAAAAGGACCTAGGGGTTACAGCTGGAAATGAGTCAACAGTGTGCTCTTGTTGCCAAGAAGGCTAACGGCATTTTGGGCTGTATAAGTAGGGGCATTGCCAGCAGATTGAGGAACGTGATCATTTCCCTCTATTCGGCATTGGTGAGGCCTCATCTGGAGTACTGTGTCCAGTTTTGCGCCCCACACTACAAGAAGGATGTGGAAAAATTGGAAAGAGTCCAGCGGAGGGCATCAAAAATGATTAGGGGGCTGGAGCACATGACTTATGAGGAGAGGCTGAAGGAACTGGGATTGTTTGGTCTGCAGAAGAGAAGAATGAGGGGGGATTTGATAGCTGCTTTCAACTACCTGAAAGGGGGTTCCAAAAAGGATGGATCTAGACTATTCTCAGTGGTAGCAGATGAGAGAACAAGGACTAATGGTCTCACATTGTAGTGGGGGAGGTTTAGGTTGGATATTAGGAAAAACTTTTTCACTAGGAGGGTGGTGAAGCACTGGAATGGGTTACCTAGGGAGGTGGTGGAATCGCCTTCCTTAGACGTTTTTAAGGTCAGGCTTGACAAAGCCCTGGCTGGGATGATTGAGTTGGGGATTGGTCCTGCTTTGAGCAGGGGGTTGGACTAGATGACCTCCTGAGGTCCCTTCCAACCGTGAGATTCTATGGTTCTACATAGATGTTAGCCCAGTTTGTTCTCTATGGGCTGAGTGGAGGTCTCAGTTTGGCTTCAAATATCTTATTTTGTTTTTGAATAAATGTTTTCATTCCCATCCCGGCTATACCACATTTACTATGGCATCAATGGTACTGTCACTCTAGGACCACATCTGGAAGTGGCCGATCACAACCACATGGGGGTCCACCAATATGTTTGGCGCCGGGCCCACAAAAAGTTAATCCGGCCCTGGTGGAGAGGGGAGCAGGGATGAAATGAACCAGAGCCTAGGTTGGTGCCTGGAAAGAGCATCTGGCCTTCCTGACTCTTGCCTTGCCCTGCAATTCTGTTCTGATCGTTGCCACCCAACTCCTCCTCCTCACCACCCTGGATGCCTCACACCCACTGCCATCCCCTTCACCGACTCCACTCCTTGTCCTCCCCTCCCAGGCTCTGCCCTGCTCACCCCTCACCCCCTGCTGCTCCCCCACTACCATCCCCACTCACCCTCATGCTCACTTTGTTCCCTTCTCCCACCAGCACCCCCTCTACCCGGAATGAACTCCCTCCGTGGTTAAAGTGCTGTCCTAGGAACCAGCCGATCTAGGCGCAGCTTTGCCACAGGCTGCTCGTGTGACCTTGGACAAGTCACTGAGTCTCTCTGTGTTTCAATTCCCCAGCTGTGAAATGGGGATAATCGTCATGGGCGGTGGGCAGGGCCGGCTCCAGCATTTCTGCCGCCCCAAGTAAAAAAAAAAAAAAAAGTCGCAACCGCGCCCGGGGGCAATTGGGGGGGGGGGGAAATAGCCGCAATCGGCGGCGGCAGTTCAGTGGCAGGTCCTTCGCTCCTAGAGAGAGTGAGGGACCTGCCGTCCCCAAATTGCCGCACGTGCCGCCCCTCTCCCTTGGCCGCCCCAAGCACCTGCTTGTTAAGCTGGAGCCGGCCCTGGCGGTGGGTAAAATAGGCCAGGCTCTGGCCCCACCCATGTTCCGCGCTCTCTCCCAAGCCGGCGGGAGCTCAGCTTTGCCGCTGGCCAGAGGCTAACAACCTGGCGCTGGGGGCGGTGCTGAGGCCAGTCAGCGATCAGGCTCTGGGGGCCAGCACTGGGGGCAGTACGGTGCTGGTGCCAGCCAGTGGCTCAGGACAGTTTGGCCAGGACTCCTCTGGCCGCTGGAGGGTAAGGGGGAGGCGCATTCAGGCTGCTGGTTGACAAGGGGGAGCGGACATTTGGGGCTCCAGCAGACGGGGGGCTGGGGAGGCGGGGCCTTGGGCAGAAGGGGCTGGGCTGCATGGCTAGCTTCCCCGAAGGGGGGCTCACGTGCCACCCATGATAATCATCCTTCCTTCCCCCACCCTGTGTCCGTCTGGTCTATTCAGACTGGAAGCTCTTTGGGGCAGGGATAGTCTGTTCTGTGTTTTACAGCTCCCAGCACCAGGGCCCTGAGCGTGGCTGGAAACTCCAGGTCATCCTGCACTGCAAATAATATCAGTATGTTTAGGGTCAGACTGTGCCACACTGACTCACGCTGGGCAGCCCCTCGAGTCCCATCGCGCCAGGGTGGCAGAATCCGGCCTTTAACTCAATAAGAAATTCTATTTGTTTTATGCTGCCCTCAGATTTCCCAGGTGCTGCAGATGTTCCTGTTGAAGCCTGCACCTGGGGTGTGGAGTTGTCATGGGGGAGCTGGAGTGTGGACAACCGGGCAAGGGACAGTCAGGGCTTGTGGTCCAGGGGAGAGGAGGGGAGGGGACGCTTCTCCTCTTTCCCTTGGAAATAACTTTAAGGGTTTGTCTACACAGGGAAAAGCCCTGAGTAGCTAGTGCAGAACAGCTCGTCAGCACTGACTGCCTGTGCAGACACACTGATTCCATGCTAAGAGAGCCTTTGTCTGCTTTGGGTTAATCCACATTGGAACTGAGTGCCCTCACCCCCTGCTGCAGACTGAGTGCAGAATAATAGTGTCCACATGGGGAGTTAGTGTGGAATAGCTTTAAATTCACACCCTAACTATTATGGTGCAGAACAGCGATTCCGCACTAGCCATGCTGGGCTCGTCCCCGTGAATTCCCCACGCCGACAAGCCATCAGTGTGGGGAGAGGAGGTTTGGATGCCTTGTTCCTCACCCCAGCAACCCTTCTAGAGCCACCAGCTGCCCCTCTGCCCTCCACCCACGCTCTGCCACTGCATCCAGCAGGGCTGGATAAGCTCATCAGCTGGATGTTTCTGTCAAACAATGGTGAGCAGTGAAATAAATAATTAATCAACTAGAGGCTATAACATAGCAACAGAGAGCAGTTAAACAATTGCCTGTGGCACCAGCTTCCCCCTCACAGCAGATAGTGTGTGTGTGTGTGTGTGTGTGTGTGTGTGTGTGTGTGTGTGTTAGTGTTAGGGTGACCAGATCACCCAGGTCAAATATCGGGAGGCAGGGGCGGAGGCATCGGCAGCCCAGCCCCATTCGTTCTCCTGCGGGACGGGGGGGCTGGAGCCTGCTGCCCCCACTCCGGGGCCGCCGTGGGATTGCACCAGCTGGGCAGCCAGCCCAGCTGCGACTGGCCAGGGGCTGGGCGCAGCGTGCGCACTGCTGGGTCCCCGCAACAGGCCCGGGCTCGGGGGGTTCGGGCCTGGGCACCAGAGCCGCAGCCGCCGAGCGCCATGGCCGCTTCCTCCGGCTGTGGCAGTGGGAGCTGCAGCAGCGGCTGCTCCCGAGTCCCGCTGCCCAGGTGGGGAGAACAGCCGCCGCCTGGCCCCGCGGGCCACCCCCTACTCTCCTCCAGGTACCGCCCGACTGAGTCCTGCCTGCGCTCGGGGCCAGGCCGGACTCTCACTCGCCCCGGCACCGTGCTCCCCCTGCGTCTCCCGGGCCTTCCTCCAGCGCTTGTGGAGGGAGGAGGAATGGCGAGCCTGGAGAAGAAGCGGGGATTTGGGGAGGGAACCAATGGGGGAAGGAGGGGGCAGAGTCGGGGTTGGGGGGCGGGTGCGAGCACGTCCGGGCTCTGGAGCCTTTGCTTGTTTGTCCAGTGTCCCGACCTAACATTGGTCGGGACGCGGGACAAACAAGCAAATATCGGGACAGTCCTGATAAAATCGGGACGTCTGGTCACCCTAGTGTGTGTGTGTGTGTGTGTGTGTGTGTGTGTTTTGCCCCACCCCTTAGTTACTGTGAGAGCTGTCAGAGGACAGAGCAGGGACTGAGTATCCCAGGGGAATGGGTCTGAGAGGGACTGCGGCAGTATCAGCGTTAGTTACCTGCGTATCCTCGGGCTCTGGCGAGTCCTGAAATAATCAGACATGACAATTTACACAAACGAAATGCAGACTCAGCAAGTCACAGACTCAACAAGTCACACACTATGAAAAACAAATGACACGGAGCTTACCCAGTTCTGCCAGAGGGTCCATGGGAATGAGAGGGGAGAAAAGGGAAAAAAGAACATAAATGAATCAATAGGAGAGATTCTCAGTAACAAAAGTGTCCAGTTCTAAACCCACATTACAGTAGCCTCAGTGAGAATTCTACCTGAGTAAGGACAGCAGGATTGGGCTCCTAATCAGTAGTTAGGGCTTCTCCTTTATCGCACCTGATCCCACAAAACCTCCCCCCAGAAATCAATGGATAAAGGGCCCAGTTCTCTCCCTGCTCCAGTCACTGTGTGCTGGGATGGTGCAAACTGGCTGGGACCAGGCCCTGGACATCAGAGAATTCCCCTGGCATAGGGAGAGCCCAGCTGGGGTAAAACAGCGTAACTGGCTCCTGTGCCAATCGCCCCCCTCATCCCGGTGTAGGGGGCATATCAGGGCTGGGGCTGGGGTGTGTGTGCTGCGGCAGGGCAGGGCACATCACCAATTCTCAGGGACCACAGCCAGCTGGAATCAGAACAGCCTGGGGGCAGTCTGAGAACCAGGGAGCCATAACTAGCTCCCTCCCTGCCCCCGCCACCCACCTCGAGCAAGTCCTGGCCCAGCAGAGAACCTGGATCTGCAGCTCAGAGAACTCTTCCTTCATAAGTGTCTCCATCATCTGGGTGATGCTGGTGACCCCAAGGAGTGCTGAGCTCCTACAACTCCTGCCGGCTTCAGTGTGATCAGCAGGGCCGGCTCCAGGCACCCAAGCACGTGCTTGGGGCGGCACCTGGTAAGGGGCGGCGGGAGGAGCGCGGCGTGGCATTCCGCGGGGGGGGGGGGGGCGCCGGGGGGGGGGGGGGGGGGGGGCTTGGGGGCGGCGCTTTTTTTTGCTGCTTGGGGCAGCAAAAAAGCTAGAGCCGGCCCTGGTGATCAGACCCATGTGCCTGACCCTTCAGCTGCTGTGTGTGGTGTGTGGAAACCAATAGGGCTCAGAGGGCCCGATCCTGCTCCAAGGAAACCTATGTGTGCAGGAGAACATCCATGGAGAGCTCACAGGGTGGGCCCTATTCATGTAATATAATTATTGTTTTCATTACAGGGTGTCTAGTGTCAGTAAGGGAAGTTTGTTTGTTTGTGTTTAAGAATGTATTTCCAAGGGTTAATGTGAATAATAAAACTATTAATATTAGGGTTGCCAGGTGTCCGGTTTTTGAATGGAACACCTGGTCGAAAAGGGACCCTGGCGGCTCCGGTCAGCAGTGCTGACCGGGCCGTTAAAAGTCCGGTCGGCGGTGCAGAGGGGCTAAGGCAGGCTCCCTGCCTGCCCTGGCTCCGTGTGACTCCTGGAAGCAGCCAGCATGTCCCTGTGGCCCCTAGGCACAGGGGTGATCAGGGAAGCTATGTGCACTGCCCCTGCCCTGAGTGGCGGCTCCACAGCTCCCATTGGACAGGAACCAGGGCCAGTTTGAGCTGTGGGGGCAGTGCCTGGGGGCGCTGAGGCACCTGGCCGACCCTGCGCCTAGGAGCCGGGCATGCTGGCTGCTTCCAGGAGCTACGCAGAGCCAGGGCAGACAGGGAGCCCCGCTGACTGGGAGCCGCCTGCGGTAAGCGCCACCAGGTTGCAGCCTGCACCACAAACCTTCTCCAGCACCCCAACCCCCGGCCCCAGGTCAGAACCCTCTCCTGCACCCTAACTCCCTCCCAGAGCCCACACCCCAAACTCCTGCCCCAGACCTGAGCTCCCACCGGCACCCAAACTCCCTCCTGGTGCCCACACCCCCTCCCGCACCCCAACCCCCTGCTCCAGCCTTGAGCCCGCTTCCACACTTCAAACCCCTCGGCTCCAACCCTGACCCCCTCCTGAACCCCAAACCCCTCATCCCTGGCCCCACCCCAGAGCCCACACCCCCAGCTGGAGCCTTCATCCCCTCCTGCACCCCTGCCCCAGCCCAGAACCCCCTCCCATGTCCTGAACCCCTCATTTCTGGTCCCACCCCAAAGCCTGCACCCCAGCAAGAGCCGTCACCCCCTCCAGCACCCCAAACCCTTGCCCCAGCAGGGTCTAGGGGAAGAGGAGGGGCAGAGGGTGGGGCAAGGGTGTATGGTTTTGTGCCATTGGCAACTGTAGTTGATATTCATATTTCAATACCACAAATTTTCCATCCATTATTTCTGGGTAATCTCTGGATTTCTCATTGTCATGTACGTTACCTGTAACAGTAACATATTCATTTTTTACACTAACATTTCTTTGCACACATAGCTCTGAGTGTTTCTTTTCCAATTTAAAGCATAATCAAAACTAGTAAAAACACACATACCTTTCACTGCCTCGTATTCCCCTGGAAAGTAAAAGATGTGGGGAGTTAACAAAACTTAATGCACCCAGCCTCTTATGGAGGCAGGGACCCAAGGTGTCTTGCCCCAGCTGTTACATGTACTATGTTATACGCCTCAGACACTGCACAGGTAAACCTGGACCAGAGAGCAGGGCTTCCTGGCTCCATATCACTACTCTCTGTCCCTCCCATATTGATCCCCAAAACCCTCCTCAACTGCCCCTCTTCAGCCCCCGTCCTCTGCACCGACACATACACCTTTAATTCCTGGAGACTCCAGGCCAATCCTGGAGGGTTGGCAAACCTACCTTTAAGCCCCACCCAATGTCATAACTCTATATCTCCTGGGCAGTCTCCTGCCCCACTGCACATTATTATTTGCATTCCAATTGCATCTAGGGGTCACACTCAGGGCCGGGCCCCACTGGGCTAGGACCTGTATGCACACACTCCAGACTATAAGAAGACACAATCCCTACTCCAAAGAGTTTACAGTCTTGGGGCCTGACCCTGCAAATATTGATGCCCTGGTCTAACTTTACTCACAAACCTCCTCCTCTTCCCCACCCACCCCTCTAATTGCTGCCCAATCTCCCTCCTCCCTTTTGTCTCTGAACTCAGTGAACCTAGTCTGGAAACAATGCTTGTGTCTCCAGCTGTCCTAGATCCCTTCCAGTCTGACTTTCCACTCCACTCGAACTGCTCTCACTGGGGTCCTTAGTGATCACTCTGGCCAAATCTCAGTGCCCACAGCCTTGTGGTTATCTTTGGTTCCTCCCTCTGCACACCCAGGCCATTTCCAGACACTGCTGCTGCTTCTTGAGTGTTATCTCCAGTATCTGCCCTTTTCTCTCCATCCCTGCAGCACAGTCCCACACTATATCATAAGAACATAAGAAATGCCGTACCGGGTCAGACCAAAGGTCCATCTAGCCCAGTATCCTGTCTACCGACAGTGGCCAATGCCAGGTGCCCCAGAGGGAGTGAACCTAACAGGCAATGATCAAGTGATCTCTCTCCTGCCATCCATCTCCACCCTCTGACAAACAGGCTAGGGACACCATTCCTTACCCGTCCTGGCTAATAGCCATTAATGGACTTAACCACCATGAATTTATCTAGTTCTCTTTTAAACTCTGTTATAGTCCTAGCCTTCACAACCTCCTCAGGTAAGGAGTTGCACAAGTTGACTGTGCGCTGCATGAAGAAGAACTTCCTTTTATTTGTTTTAAACCTGCTGCCTATTAATTTCATTTGATGACCCCTAGTTCTTGTATTATAGGAATAAGTAAATAACTTTTCCTTATCCACTTTCTCCACATCACTCATGATTTTATATACCTCTATCATATCCCCCCTTAGTCTCCTCTTTTCCAAGCTGAAGAGTCCTAGCCTCTTTAATCGCTCCTCATATGGGACCCGTTCCAAACCCTTAATCATTTTAGTTGCCCTTTTCTGAACCTTTTCTAGTGCCAGTATATCTTTTTTGAGATGAGGAGACCACATCTGTATGCAGTATTCGAGATGAGGGCGTACCATCGATTTATATAAGGGCAATAATATATTCTCAGTCTTATTCTCTATCCCCTTTTTAATGATTCCTAACATCCTGTTTGCTTTTTTGACCGCCTCTGCACACTGCGTGGACATTTTCAGAGAACTATCCACGATGACTCCAAGATCTTTTTCCTGATTTGTTGTAGCTAAATTAGCCCCCATCATATTGTATGTATAGTTGGGGTTATTTTTTCCAATGTGCATTACTTTACATTTATCCACATTAAATTTCATTTGCCATTTTGTTGCCCAATCACTTAGTTTTGTGAGATCTTTTTGAAGTTCTTCACAGTCTGCTTTGGTCTTAACTATCTTTAGCAGTTTAGTATCATCTGCAAACTTTGCCACCTCACTGTTTACCCCTTTCTCCTGATCATTTATGAATAAGTTGAATAGGATCGGTCCGAGGACTGACCCTTGGGGAACACTACTAGTTACCCCTCTCCATTCTGAGAATTTACCATTAATTCCTACCCTTTGTTCCCTGTCTTTTAACCAGTTCTCAATCCATGAAAGGACCTTCCCTTTTATCCCATGGCAGCTTAATTTACATAAGAGCCTTTGGTGAGGGACCTTGTCAAAGGCTTCCTGGAAATGTAAGTACACTATGTCCACTGGATCCCCCTTGTCCACATGTTTATTGACCCCTTCAAAGAATTCTAATAGATTAGTAAGACACGATTTCCCTTTACAGAAACCATGTTGACTATTGCTCAACAGTTTATGTTTTTCTGTGTGTCGGATAATTTTATTCTTAACTATTGTTTCGACTAATTTGCCTGGTACAGACGTTAGACTTACCGGTCTGTAATTGCCGGGATCACCTCTAGAGCCCTTTTAAAATATTGGCGTTACATTAGCTAACCTCCAGTCATTGGGTACAGAAGCTGATTTAAAGGACAGGTTACAAACCTTAGTTAACAGTTCCGCAACTTCACATTTGAGTTCTTTCAGAACTCTTGGGTGAATGCGATCTGGTCCCGGTGACTTGTTAATGTTAAGTTTATCAATTAATTCCAAAACCTCCTCTCATGACACTTGAATCCATGACAGTTCCTCAGATTTGTCACCTACAAAAGCCAGCTCAGGTTTGGGAATCTCCCTAACATCCTCAGCCGTGAAGACTGAAGCAAAGAATCCATTTAGTTTCTCCACAATGACTTTATCGTCTTTAAGCGCTCCTTTTGTATCTCGATCATCAAGGGGCCCCACTGGTTGTTTAGCAGGCTTCCTGCTTCTGATGTACTTAAAAAACATTTTGTTATTACCTTTGGAGTTTTTGGCTAGCCGTTCTTCAAGCTCCTCTTTGGCTTTTCTTATTACATTCTTGCACTTAATTTGGCAGTGTTTATGCTCCTTTCTATTTGCCTCACTAGGATTTGACTTCCACTTTTTAAAGTAAGTCTTTTTATCTCTCACTGCTTCTTTTACATGGTTGTTAAGCCACGGTGGCTCTTTTTTAGTTCTTTTACTGTGTTTCTTAATTTGCCTCTATTATGGTGTCTTTAAAAAGCGCCCACGCAGCTTGCAGGGATTTCACTTTAGTCACCGTACCTTTTAACTTCTGTTTAACTAACCCCCTCATTTTTGCATAATTCCCCCTTTTGAAATTAAATGCCACAGTGTTGGGCTGTTGAGAAGTTCTTCCCACCACAGGGATGTTGAATGCTATTGTATTATGGTCACTATTTCCAAGCGGTCCTGCTTTAGTTACCTCTTGGACCAGCTCCTGCACTCCACTCAGGACTAAATCTAGAGTTGCCTCTCCCCTTGTGGGTTCCCGTACCAGCTGCTCCATGAAGCAGTCATTTAAAGTATCGAGAAATTTTATCTCTGCATTTCGTCCTGAAGTGAACTGTTCCCAGTCAATATGGGGATAATTGAAATCCCCCACTATTATTGAGTTCTTAATTTTGATAGCCTCTCTAATTTCCCTTAGCATTTCATCATCACTATCACCGTCCTGGTCAGGTGGTCGATAATAGATCCCTAATGTTATATTCTTATTAGAGCATGAAATTTCTATCCATAGAGATTCTATGGAACATGCAGATTTGCTTAAGATTTTTACTTCATTTGATTGTACATTTTCTTTCACATATAGTGCCACTCTCCTCCCCCGCACAACCTGTTCTGTCCTTCCGATATATTTTGTACCTCGGAATGATTGTGTCCCATTGATTGCTCTCAGTCCACCAGGTTTCTGTGATGCCTATTATATCAATATCCTCCTTTATCACAAGGCACTCTAGTTCACCCATCTTATTATTTAGACTTCTAGCATTTGTGTACAAGCACTTTAAAAACTTGTCACTGTTTATTTGTCTGCCCTTTTCTGATGTGTCAGATTCTTTTTTATGTGAATGTTTTTCATCTGATCTGGCCCTTACATTATCCTCTTCCATCCTCTGCTCCTGACTATAACCTGGAGATTCTCTATCATTAGACTCTTCCCTAAGAGAAGTCTCTGTCCGAGCCACATGCTCCTCTGCAGCAATCGGCTTTCCCCCATCTCCTAGTTTAAAAACTGCTCTACAACCTTTTTAATGTTTAGTGCCAGCAGTCTGGTTCCACTTTGGTTTAGGTGGAGCCCATCCTTCCTGTATAGGCTCCCCCCATTCCAGAAGTTTCCCCAGTTCCTAATGAATGTAAACCCCTCCTCTCTACACCATCGTCTCATCCACGCATTGAGACTCTGAAGCTCTGCCTGCCTACCTGGCCCTGCGCGTGGAACTGGGAGCATTTCTGAGAATGCCACCATAGAGGTCCTGGATTTCAGTCTCTTCCCTAGCAGCCTAAATTTGACCTCCAGGACATCTCTCCTACCCTTCCCTAGGTCATTGGTACCTACATGTACCACGACCACCGGCTCCTCCCCAGCACTACACATAAGTCTGTCTAGATGCCTCGAGAGATCCGCAACCTTCGCACCAGGCAGGCAAGTCACCATACGGTTCTCCCGGTCATCACAAACCCAGCTATCTACGTTTCTAATGATCGAATCTCCCAATACTAATACCTGCCTTTTCCTAGCAACTGGAGTTCCCTCCCCCGGAGAGGTAACCTCAGTGCGAGAGGCAACCCCAGCACCGTCTGGAAGGAGGGTCCCAACTATGGGAAGGTTTCCCTCTGCTCCCGTTGACTGCTCTGCTTCCCTGGGCCTTTCATCCTCCTCAACAGCACAGGGGCTGTCTGACCGGAGGTGGGACAATTCTACAGTGTCCTGGAAAGCCTCATCAACATACTTCTCTGCCTCCCTTAGCTCCTCCAGTTCTGCCACCCTTGCCTCCAAAGTCCGTACATGGTCTCTAAGGGCCAGGAGCTCCTTGCACCGAATGCACATATACGCCACCCACCCACAGGGCAGGTAATCATACATGCTACACTCAGTGCAATAAACTGGATAGCCCCCACTCTGCAGCTGGGCTTCTGCCTGCATTGTCTCC